CTTCAATATATTCATCAGCACTACAAGAAGAAATCTGTACCGTAACCAGCTTCTTTAAACTCGGATTATTTCTTTCTTAACTTGCTAAAGAAATAAAGCTAAATTAATAATTTGCCATGATTAAGAAAAGATTAATTTTTCATAAGAATGAACCATGACCTCAACTGTATTCTTCAATTTGGAAAAAATAAAAATAGATAAAATGAATTCAAAAAATCTGGAGTGTGCACACTTTCTTACCGATTTTTAGAAAAGTTTTTATACATTGAAATATGTGCATTAAAAAAAAAAAAGTCGAATTAGATTTTTTTCCTTAACACTGTTCAAAGAAAAGATTTGACTACGACTTCATTGTAAACTTAAGTGATGTAAACCAGCTATGGAAGATCATCGTAAAAATTCAATGCATTTCAATATTACCAATCAAACATTTTTTTTCTATAGCCAAATTCTATCGGAAAATAATTTCTGTTAAAAGTAGAGGTGTAAGCAAAACTTCTGTGATGCAGGCATTAGATTTTTTTTATTTTCACATACTTTACTTTTTTCTTTCTTTTTCACGCTTTTCTGGCAACAAGCTTTGAGCTCGTAATATATATACGAAATTGAATAACTGTTAACTTCGTTAATATTTATACGAATTCTATCTAGTTTTGTAGGGATTATCATTAAATTAAAAGAAAACAACATGTACGAAAATTGAAAGAACATTAATTAGAAAATTATTATCAAAATCGTTAGCGCCGTTTTTACGCTAGCCTATAGCAAAATATGTTTTTCACTTCATGAGCAGCCGCTGTTGCTCATGGAGCACCCAATTTGTGTCACAGGTACCAGTAGTCAAAATCCTACAAAATAAAAAAAGGAGCCTACAAAAACGAATTCGGTCTACTAGTTCCCGAAATAATCTTGGAACAGACAGACCAGTGGCTGAAAATGCGTTTTTCGGACTCAGGGAGCTCTGAAACGTATAGATCCGTCGAAATCGAAAATTCAACCCGATCACAATACTTTCCTTACCTAGTATAGGTAGGAAAGTAAAGAAGTGCTCTAATTGAAGCAAGTTTAGTTGTAATACATAATGCAATCTAACTTGAGTATAGGACTCATTCAAAAGCTTAGCTCTCGTTTGTAAATGGATCTTGATGAGTGTAATATATATATATATATATATATATATATATATATATATATATATATATATATATATATATATACTTTTTTTTTTTTCAAATGATGGTCAAATAAAAATATATATGACATAATTATATTGTACAACAATTATAACAATAATCAAGAATAACGAAGCATCCTATTATATTAATTTTATCTTTAGAACGTATTCTGTATTTAACGAAAAAAAGAAATATTTGTTCGGAACAATTGAAGTTCGTAATTAGGAACTTATTTTTTTCTCATTTCCTTGAAAGAAAGTTTGGCGCCCGTAAAGCTTCAGAAAACTTCTGCTGAACTTTGAACTTTTTAATACGAGGTAGAAAAAAAAAGTCTTAAAATTGAGTTATAACCCCCAGAAGTTTGTGTGGAAACAAGTCCTCGGGGGATTAAAGCAGGACATTATGTAAACAGAAGTTGAGAACAGTGAAACCAATTTTACTTATTCCCGGGTGAGGTATTAAGGCATCAGGACGTGACGGGTATTTTTTTCTTTCATGGCTTTTACGAAAGTAGATACAAGAATATGGACGTTTATGTTTACAAAATGAGCGTTTCCAAAAATTAGTACAAAATAAGACCATAATCATTATTGAACATTTGTGAAAAACATAAATAAATTTGTATCTTTCATTCATCTCTTCACTACTTTTCTTTATATAATCATGCATTCATATGCAGTACCAATTGTGTACATTTTTAATGTGTATTTATTGGCAAATAAAAAGTGAATCCATAGTTATTGAAAATAAAAATTAAAATCCACTATAATCATTCTTTAAAAAATAAATATTTTTCGATTGCTATGAATATTCATATTTGGAATTTTTTTTCTAGGTGCGAAATACCAATCTCAATTTCGTTTCTCCTTAAAAAAAATATTTTAACTCAATTTTCTTCTTCGGTCAGTAAAAATGGTTTCATTTCAACATTTTACTCTTACTACAGATATATTCAAAATGTAAATTGGTCATAATAGAGCTCTCTTAAAAACATAACCGTAAAATAAAAAAAAATGCAATAAAAATATATTATCGCACAGGATTCTATTAGATTTTGATAATTTTTTTTTCCTATTTCAGCAAATTTAGGAAACTTTCAAATAATCATTTGTTTACTGGGCCAAAAATTGTGTACTTTTTTAGTTATTTGTGAATACAATTCTGCATCCATCGTTACTTTTTTCCAGCCTCTTTTCGGGGATGTTTTGTTTGTACATAAATTAAAAGGGGATGATTTCAGCCGTTTTGGCCCTATAGTTATAGCGACTCACATTTTTCGGCCCTACATTCGAAATGAATGCCCGAATGGTAAAGAAATTTATACAAAAACACTCTTGTATTTTATTGCAACGCCGTGTCAAAATTTCTAAGAAATCAGTGAAGGATATTCGGGGATTAGTGGTTTTAAAGAAAGTAACATTTTCATTTATTTATGTACACTGTTTTTTTTTTATTGATAAAACTAAAGCTCATCAATAGCTGCTAAACAAAAAAAAAAGTTTGAGAAATAGAAGATAAAAAGGGACTGAACTGTCTTGTCTTTGTTTATTTATATAATGATAATCTCTAACTAGAGCAAATTATTTCACATCAAGTTTATTTTGAACCACTATGGTGTATTTGCGGGTAAGTGGGCCGCAAACTGTACAAGTTTACACATTCATAGTCCGTAGAATAAGGTGCTCGAAATCTTGACATAGATTGTGTTGATGTACATCTGTTATACGTTTAGTGATTAGTGATCCATGTATTAGCATTACGATTGTATTTACAACTAATTGTAAGCGCCTAGAATATGTGTTAATTGTGTTAGTAATAATGATTTTCTTTTTATTTCCGTTTGTATTATTTAAGTCTATAAAGATTATGAAAACTTAAAATCCTACTATAACTAGAGTTATTTTTCTCCTCCTGTTCGATTTTCAAATTAATGAAATCAATTCTATGTCCCTCAGACAGAGCAGGAAAACCTGCCTGGACATATGCCCAGAGGCGCCTGACTTTAAGTGCCCGTCACATATTAGAAATTTATAAAAACAATGCAAAGCGAATAATTAATTTTAACCTATTAATAAAGGTAATAATTACGGAAAAGGAGAAGAGATTTTCTTATGTTCCATTAATATTGTTACTCTCTGAAAAGAATAATGAGTCAACTTAGTTGGGATCTATTATCAATTAATTCTTACTCTTTCTTGCCTCCAAGGTACTTTATACAGACATTAAACTACTTTTCAAATCTATGATTCTATAAAAAATTAACCATAAACGGGAGTCCGAATGATATTAAGGTCGATTGTAAACTCTTGTAATTTATTATTATTTTATTAAAATCGGTTATAAATTATACCCAATCTGTGGTGGTTAATTTAAGTTTTTTGGTAATGACAAATTCTTTATATGTAACTCAATGTAACTTTCATGCTTGTACAACATAACTTGCTGGTTTTTAATTTACAGGTTTTTACAAAAGGCCACTTAGAACAAATGAAACATCGTATTTTGTGAATCAGAATATTCGCCAGGACAAGATTGAACAGAGAAGCTCCAAAACCTAATTTTCTAAAAAAAATATGCTTACAGGGTTTTACAGTGTGGATGTCGATATATTTTATTTTATTATTTTCCTTTGTCCATCCCATTCTCTGGAGTTTGACCCTTTTTTTCCAACTCACCCTATTCATTATATTAAATAAATAATGTTTAAATATATACTACTATTTAATTGAAAATGAATTTCGTAACATGCGTCATCAATATAATCCTATATATTATTTCTAAAAGGTTTTTTTTTTCGGTATGCCATAACTTCGTCAATTTTTCATCAAATCCAATGAATGAAAACACATTTTGAAGATATACTTCTCCTTCACATGTGAAAAATAGTCCAATCTCCCCGAAAATTCTGGAAAAAGGTTATGAAGGAAAAGAAACTTTATTTGCGAAGAACTAAAAAAGTATGCATTTTTCTGATGCATGATTGTACCCATGATAATTAGAAAGATTAATAAATTACCTACAAAACAAAAACAAAAATCGTAAAAATTGGACAATTATTAACAAACATACAGTCCATTAGTTTTGGTATGCTTAATAATGTCTTCCTGTTTAAAGATATTGCACTTAGGAGTAGAATAGTCTACTACACTTTTTTTCCTGGCTGATGTATTAACTTTATTATTTCTTAAAGACAGTTGTTATAACATATATTTTTTTAATAATTAAAAAAATTCCATGATCGCGGGATTATTTTGTCTTTATTACTTTTACTATCTTTCCAGTCAGCGTTTAAAAATAGGTCCTAGCAAAGCAATTTGTAGAAATATTTTTGTCTAATATGTTTAATGGAATATTGTAATCGACCAAGGAAAAAATATTAATTCCTTTCTTACATAATACATAAGAAATACTTATTTCCAGATTATTTTGCTAATTCTCCACTAAACAAAATTATCTTCGAATTATTCGCACGGACCAAATAGTTTCATATATCAATCATTAACATCATAAATTCACAATCTATAAAAGGGTTTAAAACTCTTGTAAAACCTCCAATCTACGTCTTCACAATGTTTTTCAAAAATATTACATTTAATTCATAAACAAATAATCTAATATGGGTGGAATCAAAGATAATTATTAAATAATGAATTACGGAATCAAATATATTTTTTCACTTTAAACTTTAAGATTAGCATATTCTCTTGTGCTAATTATAGCATCTGTGAAATTTACTATCGATATATTCAAATTATTCAACTTAAAATTAAGATTCAAATAGATTTTTTTCGTGCATTGTTAATTATAGAAGAATAAGACACCTACTGTGAGATCTTCAATGTTGATGCAAGTTGTGTAGTTGGACCATATCATACCACTGTCCGGGTGCCTGAACCAGGTTCCATTTTGAGTGCATATTTTATGCGCCAGGACTGAAAAAAAAATTTATTTAAAATTAGAAAGATATTAAGAGATAAGTATTTAGTTGTTAAGGTAGTTACTTACTAATCATTAGTGTGTTTGATTTCATTAAAATTAATTTTATGTACGAAGTAACATCAAATGTCATAGAAAATAAATTAATGGTATCCTAAATTAATATAGTTTTAAAAGGCTTATAAAACAAAATTGAAGTAGAAGTTGTTGATTTTTTTAAATTTTAGTTTTAGGTAGATATAACGATTTTTAAATTTCTGGTTCAATTTTTATAGGTATATATTAAAAAAAAAATACAAAAAATTAATAATATGTTTGAAATAAATTTAAGAGATTGTAAATTTCATAATAGGATTAATGTAGTATTTAAATTATTTGATATTTATTTATGAAGATCATTTAAAAAATTAAGTTAACAACTTCAATCATTAGGTTTTTCGATTATGATCCCAAAAATAATTTCTATTAATTAAAAAAACTAAAAATAATAATTCTTAGAAAAAACACAAAATACTCTAAAACTGAGTTTTAAGAGAATCATATGAACATTTAAAAATACGATTACTGAAAAAAGATGTTGGTACAAGGAATTTTTGGAACGGTCGTAGAAAGGTCATGTCGAAAACAGTTAAAACAATAGTAATACGTTTCGAAATTTCTTCAGCTTATTTATTTACAGTCACCCTTCTAGGCCACTGTAACAATACAGCTGTATGCAGTAGTGTGACGTTAATCATTAATGCATAATAACACATTAATGCATAATAACACATTAATGCATAATAACACATTATTGCAATTATAACAGTATGCAATATTCACATCTGTGCGCATAGCTCTTTTTATTTTTTATGTCTTTATTAAATTAAAGCTGGCTTACAGAATCCAAAGTTATTACCGCCACTGATCCTCTCTCCTTGCTCCCATCGCGGTCATTTAGTCAGCGATTTATGAATTCTTTGAACGGCAGGAAAAATTCTCACTGACCACAATTTCGTAAATTCTCGTGGTTCTCATCCGTCGAAAGCAGTGCAGGACGTTACCACATGCTCAACAGTTTTCGGAACACAACAAGCGGACCATGGGGCATCCTGTCAAAGGCTATGTAAATTAGTTCTAAAACCCCCATACCATGTGAAGTATGGAGAAACCCAATAGTCCGGGATACCCATTTTGCTTGTAACCAAGAATGAACGGTGCCGTACTATTTTCTTTAGGCACTCCCTTCCGGAGTCGTCACTCACCATCGGCCCCACTCTTCAATTGTATCCTCCCAAAACATCTTTTTCTGTTTATTAAATTTCCTCAATTTGATAAAATCGTTTAAAAAAAAAAAAAACTTTGGTATTCCATAAAATTTTTAGAAATGATAAGAAACTGTGCTCCTATTCTTCATCATTACGATTGCCATTTCTGTGTTGTTTAGTTCCGCAATTAGTTTACTAGTATGTGTGTTATTTTAAATTATAGAAGCAACGAAGTTTTTAAGATATGGATATTTCATCCTTTTTAGTTTTAAAAAGTGAAGCCATTTTTGATTCCTGTCCCAGTATTCCTTGTACTTAATTTTGCAGATACAGGAGCAGCTCTTAGAATTTTAATCACCTCTATGTCAAGCTTCTTTGTATATATTATGTTCGCTAAAAAACTAACTGTTTATGAGGAAATATGATAAAAAATAATAATAATTATTACTAGGCATAATTTTTATTTATTTACTTTCCTGGAGTCATACTTTTCCCTCCACAGTTGGAGGGACAAGTCTGGTTTGGAGTTCTCTCGCCACATTGTAAATATTGAATATAGGTGTGTATGTGTTCTTTTTATTTATCTACTTTTAGGTTATTTTATTCTTATTTATTGTATATATATTATTTTTCTGTATAATTTATTTTTTATTTATTGTACATAGAGTGTGAATGTGATCTGTGAACTCTATTAAAAATGTCCAAGAGACAGTTTATTTTTCAATAAATAAGTTTAAAAAAAAAAAAATTATTTACGTTGTATTTTATTTAGTCATAATTGATCTAAAGTAATAATTCGGATTAACTTATACTAAAATTTTATTGTATTTAATTAATTTTATCTGATGAAAGCTAATTTAATTTATTAATTATTTATTAGACATTCGGATAAAAATATATGAAATGTTTATCAAGGATAAAACATGAATGGATTTTAACTAATATGTTCAATTGAGTAAAAATGCTGCAATATTGGCTAAAATAAATTTTTCACACAAAAACTGTTTATTGTAAATTGTTATCAACTTTGTTTTGACAAAGATAATTTGAGGCGACTTAGATGAGAAGGTATGGTGCATTTGGACCGGTTTAAAACACTCAGGAACCTACCCTCTCTTCTTCATTTTTCTTTTTTTTCATTCATAAATTTTACTTGGGGAAGATAAAAAAAAAAAAAAAAAAAAAAAGCAAAAACATAACTAAATCAGACCTTTTCCTAATAACTTGAGATTTTTTCGATCTCACATTAATATTAGTTAAGATCGCAAGCATTTATATATATATTTAATTACTTTTAGGTGAACTATATTATATTCTGTCTCAGTCAGATTTATCACAATGGTAAACGTGATAAAAGATCAAACCTGAATCTTCAAAGAAGTTGAAATAGCTGCCTCTTAATTAAGCTTCATAACATGAAGTATCATTTTTTTAAGAGCTAACATGTTTCGATGAAATCTAATATGATTAACAAATTGTTTTAACAATAAGCTTTAATATTGGCTACAATATATTTTCCATAGACACAGAATAATATGTGTCAAAACAGAATTGATTGATGAGATAAAAATGATTTAAAAAAATATTTTCGCTACAATCTGTTATATATTTTATGGTTTGTATTGTAAACATTGCCTTGTTCAGAAATCGCATAATTTATTAGCGTTCTACAAACGACTTATTACAAGACAATGATTAAAAAACAAAACAGAATTATATGATTCTGTCAGAATTATTACATAAAATTATATGTACGTAATTATAAAATATATTTTTTCAATGTTTTTGTTTGAATTTACACATACAACTTGTGATTTGCTTATTATATATGTATAATAGGTTCAAGATAGTGCAAACTGTGTAATTGGGAATGAGAGATCGCTGTCACCGACTCCAAACAATTTTTTATGGTTATTATACATCGAAAATTATTGAACAAATGCCCCGGTGTTCGTTCCAGTGGGCCTAGGACCTGAGAAAAATATTATGTTAAATATAAATTATACTATTTTTTTTATCCACGCTTTTCTAGTTTATTATTTAGAAACTTTTTTTAGTAAAGCTAAAAAAAAAAAATTCGTTCGTATTAAATGAGTTCAAACGAATCAGACTTTAAAATACTTCAATAAGTATTTTTATAGAAATCAAAAAATATAAATTTAAATCCTTGATTTTCTTGAGATTATTTTTCCGTCAATTAACTAAAGAATTCATAAACTTTTGAAATTTTCTTCAAATGGATCCATGTTAATGGATAGTTGGAAAACTGAATTACCCAAGCAAAAATTCTTCCAATCTATATCAATAACTTTTGGATTTATCTTGAATTTGCCAACATTTTTGTGTTTGTTAAAAAAAATTTCCAAATGGTTCAAAATAGGGAAAAATTATTTGCACAAATCTTTGATTGTATTAAAAATTCTTATTCAAGGATTATTTAGGATGCTAAAAACGAATATCAAGTTTGTTTCCCCCTAAAAAATATGTATGACGACTTTACCGATATACATAAAAAGTATCAGAGATCCAAGACTGTAGGTTTGATGGTGTGGCACCATAGTCAATTCCAGTTTTGGACGTTTCAAATTCTAAAAAATCTTTAAACCACTAAAAATGTTTTTAGAAATTCAAACCTTTATTAACAACAGGTCATGTATAATTTTTGAAGTGGATCGAATCAAATTGTTTAAAGTATTGCAATATTTCTTGTAATAATACTTTAACTTGTAATTTAACAAGCGATGTTTTATATCTTTTAGAACTCATGAGGAAATCATTTTCTTATCCTTAATTATCTAATATTCAGACATTACTTAAGCGACTATTACGTTTAAAAGCACTGGGGATGGGGGGAAACAATATTAGTTTGTCACAGTTGTACTTAAAGATGTGTAGAGATGGGTATGTAATTGACTATTTAAATTATAAGGATGAGAAAAAAATTGTCAGAATTTACAGTCATTAATGATACGTATGCTAAATCATTAAAGAAATTTTTTGACTACAAATTCTGACAATTCTTTTCACCTATAAGGATATGTAGTTTTGCGTTTCTGGCTGCCTCTTGCTGCTTCCCAACAACAGTATTCTAGGGGTGGTAGAACGATTTGTATTGTAGAATAAAAGGTATATTTTATTTGTTGTTTATGAAAAGATGAATAATTCTGATTATTAAAACATGTAACTAGCTATAAAGAGGAGCAGAGCAAATCGGCCTACATGTAAATGAAGATAAATAAAAAAAAATTGAACAAATTCAAAAGTTACACCCCAATAACAGAATCTGATTGGTAGAAATCAACCATAATAAACTCAATGGATTGAAAAAAGTCCAGTGTATAACAAGGGAAAAAGTAGTTTATTCTCTCTTTCAATTGTATTAAAATCACAAAAAATCTCAAATTAAGGATGTGAAATGCTGCGATAAAGACTTGGATACTAATCAACACGCTACAAAGAAGCATTGAAAGATTTGCCGGAGCAATGTTGGGTCAGGTTACTGTATAGAGAAGAAGGACCAATAAAAAACTGCTTACAGGAATTGGTCAATCATACCTCATGATATGAAGGGAAGGAAGTTAAGATGGACGGGGCATGTAGCTCGGACCAATACATGAGATACCTCTACACACCAATGAATGTCTCAAAAATAGGCAAGATACTATGTGAAAGGCCAAAGACCAGATGGATAAATCAATTATCAATGATGCAAGAATTATATATTATACATTATAGAGCTGCATACAGAT